CCCCCCCCACCCCCCCCCCCCCAAAAAAAAAAAAACAAAAAAAAAACCCCAAAAAAACCAACGAAATTAAATGATGTATAGATAATTGTGATGTCCCATAATTTTTAAAAAAATGTGTCACGGGTTTAGACCGCCCCGACTGTTTGGTCAGCCCAGTGGTTCCCATAATATACGCCACGTCGCTCTGGGTGCCGCACTGCCCTCGGACAGAGCCGTGAGAATGGGGCAGATAGGGCAGTCACACCGGGCACCAACATCGTCTTTAGATAAGATCTAATTTATAGTGAATTAAAATATAAAATCCCGTATACGGTACTTCAGAAAGACAAGGGGCAACAAACAAAAATTGTCGTTTTACTGGTCCGTCCCGGGGGGGGGAGGGGGGGGGCATTTTTTCTATATAATAAATGGCACCATTTCCTGGACTCGCCCCATTTTCCGCATTTCCTCGGCATTGCCCTGTCCTGGGTTACTTCGGCTTCCTTACAGGGGCGCCTCGAAACAATACAGTTTTCATAATTTTACTTCCAATTTTAATCCAATGTGACATCCAGCGGCCGTGCTGCAAACACGCGAATAACGAGTGTTTGCAATTACTAGATTTTTTACCCAACCCTTTATTTTATTTTTTTTACGTATTCGCCATTTCGAATTTAGCGATGGGTGCCTGGTGAAAACCTAAATTTGAGACAGGCGCTGGGGGCTAAGGGGCGGGGGGGGGGCACTTGCCTCCCCCCCCCCTGGATTGATTGGATACATTTTTTTTTTGGCAAAAAATGTATTAAAGTAAAGAGAAAATAAAGATAAAGTTACTAAGCTAATATCCTGTCCGTTCGTTCACCATACAAATACGCTACAGTAAATTAAAACTACATTAAAACATTACTAAAAATATTCCCCCCCCCCCTGGAAAGTTAATCGATTTCCCCCCCCCCCTAGAAAGTTTTCTGCGGGCGCCCATGCTACTACTGAGTACTATTTGAGTGAAATCTAGCGAGTTCCTTTAAGAAANCCCCCCCCCCCCCCCCCAGTTTTCAGTGCCTACGTACTAAATGGATGGCCCCTACGAAGGCTTAAACAAATATATATTGGGGAACGGATAACAAAAGTTCCCCGACTCCTTCAATACCGTATTACACTGAATACACTGCTGCATAATTAAATATATCAAGGGACCTCGGAATTTATTCTAAACGTCAGCCTTCTATTTTTGTGAAATGATATCTTTGCGAAAAAACAAATCCAGTCCTCACAGCCATTTGACTGATCATGGTAATAGGGGGAGATGCTGCAATCAGGTTATCAAAAAATCTGTTAGCTGAGTGGGAGATGAGCTGGGACATGGAATTTCACCCTGCCAAGTGCCAGACACTATCAATCTCTAGAAGTTGCACTCCTCTACACTACCAATACAAACTGCACGGCCATATTCTTGAGCAAGTTTCCTCCGTAATGTACATGGGTGTTACCATTCAAAGAGAGGTCCGCTGGGATGAGCATATTAACAATGTATATAACAAAGCAAACAAGACCCTAGGGTTCTTAAGGCGAAATCTAAAGATTGGCAACTCCTGTGTGAAAGAAAGAGCATATAAAGCCTTTATCCGTCCGATTTTAGATTATGCATCTTCAGTCTGGGACCCATTTACCCAGAAGAGCATTGACAGGTTGGAGGCGGTCCAGCGACGAGCAGCTCGCTTTGTCCTAAACCGCTACAGGAATACCTCTAGTGTTGGCAGCATGCTAGAAACACTAGGCTGGTCACCATTGGAGAAACGACGACGACAATCCAGGCTCTCCATGATGTACAAGATAAATAATGGGC